TATAATAGTAAGCACTAATGATGCATATTGAGCGCTCATTGGACCAGTCACTGCGCTAAGCACTCTGCATGCATTGTCTCCCTTAATCCTGAAAAAATACCGTTACTCTCTCCATTCCAGGGACCAGAAAGGTGAGGCTGGGAGAGTGAAGCTGCTCCCCAAGATCGTACAGCTAGGGTGTTGGGGACCAGGACTCTATCTATTGTCTCACTGGGAACCCCCGGGAGCTGCCAGGGTGACAGAACACAGGAGCCCTGTGCTGGGTTTGGGACAGGCACCTGGGAGGAGAGGCACTGAGGAGTCAGAGAGGGATGAAGACAAACGCTGCTGATGACATGTTGAGTAGGAAAAAATTAAGTTCCAGGGGACTACACGCAGCAGTATATGCTTTTTATAAAGTTGCAAAGCACTAAACCTCAACAATACGTTGTTTAGGCTTACATATATATGTGATAACAATAATTTAAAAAGCAAGGGAAAAAAACCACACTAAATTCCAGGTAGTAGTTCCCTCCGGAAATGGAAAGGAGGCAGGGGATAGGATAGGGAAGGAACACACGGTAGATGTAAATTACTCCTAAATTTTCTAGTCCTTGGATTGGATGATGGGTTCTCCAAGGGTTAATTACATTGTTTAAAAGTGTGTTAAATAAAAGAAAGAAAAAATTCAATGAAAAAGCCAGGTATAAAGAGTTTGTCTTGAACCACAATTATGAAAAAAAATCTAATTTTGTGCATCCAAGGACCAGATATTTTTTATAAAGGATAGAGGGAATAATAAATGAACAGCCAAGTACCTATTTTCAAATTTAAGAAATAAATTCAGTTGAATTTATTGCAACTGCAAATAGAGTTGAAGACTCCCGTGTACCCATCCCCAATTCCGTTTCCCTTCTTAGTCCCCAGAGGACACCACCTTCCTGATTGTTTTATATGCCCCACTTCTCCTTTTAAAAACTTCTATACATATATGCATCCATGAACAACAGAGAGTAGTTTTTGCCTGATTTAAAACTGTAGAAAAATGATGTTACACTATGCGTAACAGCCTACCTCTGGCTTTATTTACTCAGCACTCTGTTTTGGCACCAGGAGATCCAGTTCCCTCATTTTCTCATCTGTGTAGTATTGATTGTATTACATGAAATTTATCTTATTATATGAACATGGCACAATTTTTTATCCCTTTTCTTGATGAAGGAAATGTAGTTGTTTATAACACGTTGCTGCTGCGAACAGCACTGCCGTCGACATTCTCATACGTACCTCCCCGTGCACAGGTGCACGAGTTTCTCTAGATGATGCGTTGGAGTGGAACTGCGGGGGAGAGGATGTGCACATCTTAAGTGTTTGTGCTGATCGACACACCCTCCAGCAGTGTGTGAAAGTTCCCATCGCTCCACACCCTCGCTACCACTTGGTATCATCCAACTTCTTTATTTTTGGACATTTTGGTGGATTAGAAGTCTTATCTTGTGGTTTGGTGTTTCTCTCATTAACAAAGAGGTTCAACCTCTTTTCTTACAAGACATTCATGTAGCCTTTTTTGTAAAAAGAATTTTTGTGTCTTTTGACATTTTTTTCTATTGGAGTTTGTCTTTTTTTTATAGATGTTCAGGCATTAATTATATATTTTTTGATGCTCTTTTGTTGGTTTTATACGTAAATATCTTTTCATTCTCTTTTGCATCTTCAGTTAAACAAAAGTTTTTGCCAAATATATCAATCTTTTCATTTGTAGTTTGGTGTCTTATTGAAGGAATTCTTCCTGACCTTGTGGTGATACATATGTGATCTCTATTGCAACTTCTGTGTATATCAGGTTTCCATATTTGCTGGCTATTTTACTGTCTCATTGTTCTACTGGTTCATCTCCGTGCCCAAACCACACCATCTTAACCTCTGCAACTTGATGATGACATCCACCTAGTTGTTGCTGTTGTTGTTGTTATTGTCTTCTTTTTCTCCTCCTGCCCCCTCCTCCCCCTCCTTCTTCTGTTGCTCCCTCTCCTCTTCTTTCTTCTTCTGGAATATCTTAGCTATTCTTGGACCATTGTGCTACATACATTTTAGAATCACCTTGTTAATTTCCATGGAAAACCCTGTTCAGATTTCAAGTTCCATCTATTATTAAATCTAGAGATTATGCTATGAGGAATTCACATCTTTGTGACAGAGAATCTTTCCATGATTGAACATGGTATGTCTCTCCCTTTTATTCAGAACTTCTTTAATGTCTTTCCATTAAGTTTTATCATTTTCTGGATAAAGGTCTTGCACATCCTTTGTTAGATTTATCCATAGGTTTTTTGGTTTTTGTAAATGGGACCTTTTAAAAAAATTCTCTTTTACAACTCTTTATTACTAGTGTATAGAAATGCTGCATTATTACTCAGTTCCTTTTTTGTTTTTGTTTTTGTTTTTTTAGTGAGGAAGATTGGCCCTGAGCTAACATCTGTTGCCAATCTTTCTCTTTTTGCTGAGGAAGATTGGTTCTGAGCGAATATCTGTGCTCATCTTCCTCTATTTTGTATGTGGGACACCACCACAGCATGGCTTGATAAGCAGTGCATAAGTCCACACCCAGGATCCAAAGCTGCGCACACTGGGCCGCCGAAGTGAAGTGCATGAACTTAACCACTACACCACTGGGCTGCCCCCTCAGTTCCTTTTTAAAGAAGATAGATTTCCAACTCTTCAGGATTGAGACCCAGAGTAGAGGTGTCAACAGACACTCAGTAAATTAGATGTTCAGGGCTGGCATTCAGAGGTACACAATACCATGGCTGTGCTGGTTACTAAAATATTGAAATATTTTGACAATGGAGCCCCCAATTTCCCCCTGGCACCTGGCCATCCTGACCTCTCCCCTGGACAAATCTAGACCTCCCCAAGCTCTAGACACTGGTAATGAGGTTCAACATCTTTTCTTATGTTTCTAGGACATTCACGTAGCCTCTTCTATAAAAGGAATTTTTGTGTCTTTAGCCAATTTTTTTTCTATTGGAATATTTGTCTATTTTTATTAATGTACAGGCATTAATTATATATTTTGCATGCTCTTTTGTTGGTTTTATGTACTGTTATATCTTTTCACTCTTTCGTGTCTCTACACCTGGCACAGCATGGGGCCTTAGGCCCTGGCCCCCTGAGAAGGCAGGTGTCTGTTCTGATTGCTCCATTCCTGCGCCATGTGAATTGTTTAATATTTTGAATGTTGCTTCTTAGGCTCATATGCTGGTGCTAACATAAACATTAAAATATTAATCTGATTGGCTTCTCAACCAGAGATGCAGAGAGCTCAGAAAAAGACGATCAGTTCTAGGGTTCAAGGAGGGAGTCAGGAGATCTGAGCTGTAATTAAGGAGATTCTAGGCAGCACCCACTTCTGATAATCCCCACCCAAATTCGTCAGCTTCACCAAACTCCTCCACTGAGAGCTCCCACTCCAAGTCTGGAGGCACTTCAGACACTGCATGTTTCAGACTGAACACATCCTCCTTAAATTCTAAATTTTCTCTCTTCCTGACTCCCTCAATTGGTGGAACAGTGTCTCCAAACCTCTTGTTCCCTATTAACAGAACACTCAGAATCATCCTAGACTCCGCCTTACCCTCATCTTCTCTCTTTTATTGACTATCAAGATCTCTCAATTCTACACCATAAAAAAATCTCTTGAAGATGGCCTCTTCTCCATCCTGATTACTTCTGTCTCCTAAGTTTTTGAATAGTTTCCTAACTGGTCTCTTGGCCTCCAGCCTCTTCTGCTCCTCCAGTCCCTCCCCACACTGCTACCCACATTCGCTGTCCCGCCTGGCCCAATGGTCTGCTCTGTGTCCTCATCCATGGAAAGGAGTGCATGGGAGCCATCATACACACCCAGTCTTGGCAGGGAGCAGTATTTTATCACTGACACTATGTAGAATGGTGCTAATATAAAGCAGATGGACTTTGAGTTGGTTTTATTATCATGTTTAGATTCCCTACAGACAATGCAATCTTTTTGCCTACACATGGCCAACTCTTCCCACCCCGGTTCTTGTTAGCATGACACTGAGACAATATGATCTGCCTCATAGAGCTGCTGTGAAGGTTAGATGAAACAGCGCTCGCTGAGCACTCAGCCCAGGCCCCTGCACATAGTGAGCACTTAACGTTAACAATGATTAATAATAACATTATTATTGGTTCCTTATCCTCTATGCCATTCTTATAGGCAGGCAAAACCTTTCACGCCTGGTCTCAGTCACTCCCTTCCCCCCTCCTGAACCCGTACTCTAGCGAAACTGTTGACTCTGCGTTCACCACACCAAGTTCTTCTGTGTTCCCATGGCTTTGCAAAAGCCCTTTACTCTGCCTGGAATGTCTTCCCTTCTTCTCTGTAGATTCATCATTTAAGATCCAGCTCACAGCCTGCTTTCTGTGAAGCCTTCCTCAAATTATCCAGACAAAAGGAACACCTCCTCCCCCTGTGGCACATGGCCTTCTGCTCAATCTCTTTAAAGCCTGCCGGACTGGAACTTCTGGAAAGAAGAGTCTGTATGTGCTCATCTTTGTGATCAACTCTGTATCCACAGTCACCAAAATTGTGTCTGCCCCATACTGCCAGCTCAATACTTGTGGGGGTTTCGCTTGTTTTGTTTTATCGGAAGGCATGAACAAATGAATGAATGAATGGGAATGATTTGACTCCACCCTAGTCCTAACAAAAAGTATGCGTAGTGACACTTTTCGTCACTTTGTGTAACCTGATATTGGGCTCTTCTTTCCATGCCCCAAGAAGAACATTCCCAAATACTAGAGCACCTGTCTTCCTAAGGAATTGAAAACTCAGCAACTAAAAGAAAGGCTATTTAAAAGCAGGGAGAGTGATGGCAGGTCAGCTCTGTCTTCGCAGCTGTCCCTGAGAGGGCGCTGTTCCCAAGCCAAACCTCCAGAGGCCGGGGCTGAAATACCAGAGCGTTCCCACAGGACTCAGCATCCCTCCCTTCCAAGCAGCGGCCACGGGTCCCTCGCGGCGCGCCTGCCCACAAACATGGCTGCGCGCTGCTCAGCTTCTCCTCGCAGGGGCCGTGGCGCCGGGCCGGCGGTGCCAGTACTCGGGGACTTCCTCCGCGAGCCGGCTTCCTGCACGGCTGGCATTTAAACCGGTGCCTGGGGCTGCGGGCTGCGGCTGCGGATGCTGAGCTGTCCATGGGCTAGGCAGTGCCACCGCCTCCTCTGAGCCACCGGGCCGGGCAGGAGCGCAGCCGAAGCATCCGTTAACTGCAGCCGGGGCCGAGCAGGAGAGGGCTCGGGGAGCTCGGGGACCCCGGCATCGGACCCGGCATCTGGCAGTTTAATTGCAGGTTTGACTTTAATTTCCAAGATCGCAATTCTCCTGCGCAGCCCACATATTTTTCCTCCCTCCGGCCTTGGTTGCTGCATGAAGCCGGGGCTGGGCTTGGTCCCAGGAGCAGGAGAGGAGCGCGTTCCCTGCCCCGCGCGGTCGCCCCAGGGACCCCGGAGCCGCGCGCCCCGGCCATGGTGCGGCTGAACCCCGCGCTCGGGTGAGACGGCGACGCGGCTCGGATCCCGGCGGGTCCGCCCTGCGGGGCACCTTCCCCCGAGGAGCCTAGGGCGCCGGGACGCGGGGCTGCGCGCCCTCCTGCTGGGGCTGCGCGCGGGGGGCGAGCGGCGGCCGCGATGTTCAGCTGGCTGCGTTCCGACGACCGCCGGAGGAAGGACCCCGAGGTCTTCCAAACGGTGAGCGAGGGGCTCAAGAAACTCTACAAGAGCAAGCTGCTGCCCCTGGAAGAACATTACCGTTTCCACGAGTTTCACTCGCCCGCCCTGGAGGATGCCGATTTCGACAACAAGCCCATGGTCCTGGTGGTGGGCCAGTACTCCACTGGGAAGACCACCTTCATCAGGTGAGCCTGCCCAGGGCCCCGGCAGCCCACCCTGTCGCACAGCGCTTAGGCCCTCTGCTCACTCCCGGTGTCCCCTCCTGCCTGGGGACAAACAGGGAGTCTTCAGCGTAGGGCTCTGAAGAAATCCTTGTGTGCATGTGTCCAGAGCTTACCCCACGATTTCATTGCTGGTCCATCCCCCCTCTCAGCGCCCCCATCCTACCTAGTGCCTCTCTACCTGCACTGTACTTAGCCCTTTGCTCAGGTGATCAGTTTGAAGTGTTCAAGTTCAGAGCCGTCCCTATTCTCCCCATTTTATGGATGATGAAACTGAGGCCCAGGAGGCACAAGTGAGAAAGCTCCTGGCCACACGAGTACCCACCACCTTAGGCTGGTGGGAATGTCTTACACCCTCACTTTTTAGGGACATGCCCTTCATGGCCAGGACCACTTGCCTGGCGTTTTAAAGGGCTCAGTCACTCACATGGGAGCTTTACAGTTGCAGCTGAGGAGGTGGGCTGGGACCCCAGTGGCCCCCTGCCTGGAGTGCCACTTGTCCTTCTTTATCAGTTTCCTGCTCTGAGCAGAGTTCCTCCATATGTCTCTTGGAGATTGGACAGAAGCAGTGTCCAGAAGCTGAATGCCTTTTTCCTTTCCCTTGTTTGATCTCAATGGCTCAGTAATAATATCAAAGTCTTTTAGAGATAGAAGGGATACTGGAGGTTGTCTCATGCAGCGCCTTGACTTAGCAGGTGAGATATCTGAGGCATAGAGAGGTGAATGGATTGTCCAGAGCTGTATAACTGGGTGGGAGGCTGGCCTGGGATGCAGGTCCTAGATGCATGGGAGGAGATGCTTGGCTAAATGCCTGAACTTTGAGGGTGAGTCATCCATTCCCTTGGATTACAGAATCCTTGGGCTGGAGGGATCCTCAAGAAGTCGAATTGTCCACCCTGCCTTCAGAGAGGTTCACGCATTGTCCACCAGAGTGATGAGAATCCTTCCTATCTCTAGGGGACGGGCTTCTCTCAGTGCACACAATCTTCAAGCCGAGGCCATTTTCCTTGGCCTCATTTACAGCCGTTGCCGAGCTGTAGAGGGTGCCTGTGGCCCTCTGTGTTGAGAATCAGGCTCCTACAGTGCGGCGCTGGGTTCAGTAGCCCCCCAGAGTCAATGGTGCTCATCTCCTGCAGAAGATTTCAAAGCAGGGTGCTTCTGTTTCCGTTCATTGACTGAGCACCTGCAACATGCAAAGCACTGTGCTTTATTTGGCAAGGAGAGCAGAAAAGTTAAGTTCGGTTACTGATTTTTGAGATACTAATTTTCTCTAATGCTAAGCTTATAACACAAGCCTTCTGGGAGCAGAGCATGCATCACGCTAACATGTCGTGTCTGAACAGAACACCAAATCGAGTTTGCCCTTGTTGGGTGGGCAGCCTTGGGCTGAGCAGCTTTGAGAGGCTGGGGGGATGGGCCTGTTGGCCTTTGGACATCTTGTCTTGTTACAACCACAAGGGCCCTTAGCGATGAATCTAATCCCTTGCTTCTTAACTCTTCCAAAGGTCAGTACCTTCTTTGAAAATCTGATGAAAGCTGTGGACCTATCTTTAGAAAAATGTACATGCATTCCAAATTTACATATCACCTTGGGGGTCCAAGGGCTGCCTTGGACCTTAGGGTGAGAACCCCTGATCTAATCTATCTCTCTTGTTTTATTAATCACAGATAACTGCCGAAGGCACTTCAGAGCTACCTGAGTTCTGTACTAGGTTTCCTTTGTAATCCATGCCTTCCTCCTGGCCTGGTTTATGCCCCACAGGAAGCACAGGCCGTATTCAGATGGCTTCTGCCCTGGCACGGCCTTCCCTGGCCCTCTGGACACACCTTGGTTATAATTCCTAAGACATTATTGCGAGCTTCTCCTTCCTGTAGCACTAGCACTTACCAGTCTGCCTTAGCTCCCTCGGGCCTCGCCCAGGGTCTCAGCTACAGGAGGCTCCCAGCCGACGTTTGCAGAATAGGAGGGAAGATGGAGGAAGTCGAGTGTCCTGGGGGCAGGATCCTCAAGCAGCAGACAGCTTCAAGAGCCTGTTGTCTGAGATACTCTTCTGGCTTTGCCTGAGTCATCCTGCCTGTTTATCGAGTCTAAGAAAGTGGCCGAGTCGAGCTGCCATAGATTATTCCTTGTCAGAGAGAGACAGGAAGGCCAGGAGAGGCAGATCCCTCTTCTCTCTTATCCACCAAGTGCAAGAGTTCTTGCTCCTCACTCATGTCAGTAACTGAATTTAGCTCATGCTTCAAAAGCTATATCCTCTTGAAGAAGAGCCCACCAGCAGAGTAGGAGGGGATGTTGCACAGGGATCCAAAACCGAATTATATATTTTCCCTCCTTCTCATTGAATCCACTCAATGGTTATTTTTTTAAAATTGGCTAATGCAGACAAGAATAAATTTGAGGAAGAAGAAAAAAAATCACCCATAATCCCACAACCCAACTCAGGGGAAACCATTTTAAATATTATATATATATATTTATATATATATATATTAATATATATATATTAATATATATTTATATATATACATATTTGTCTTTCCAGTGTTTTTAGCTATTTTGTAACACAAAGGAGATCATGCCATGAGATAATTTTGTATGCTGATTTATTTCACTTATAGCATGAGCATTTCCCATATAAATTAAAAAATCTTGGTAAGCATTATTTTTAAGAGCTACATGATATTTCGCTGTATATATATGCAAGTATTCATTTAACCAGTCTACTTCTCTTGAATGTTTTAGGTTGCTTCTAATTTTTTTGCTATGGTAGAATCACTCTGAACGTCTTTGCACATAATATTTCTCCGCATATTGAACTGTTTTCTCAGAGAATTCCAGAAGTGAAATCACTAGGCCAAAGGTTGTGAAGAGTTTTTTTTTTAATTTTTTACTTTTTAATTTTGATGTTAAGAGTCATATTTCTATGTTGCTTTCTGAGAAGTTAAGTTGGCACAATACCCCTGCCCCAAAGCAGAGAGGGCTCCCCTCCCAATAACTAAGTGTGTGGGGTGTAGCTCTCAGCCTGCCTTCGCCTCTCCACCTCTCCCATCCCTGCTCCTTGCCTTGAATGCAGTGATTCTCATCTCTGTCCCTGGGCTGAACTGTGAGGGACCTTTCCTTTGGGGACTAAGACTTGTCTCTTCATCGCTGGCCCTTGGCCTTTTGCTTCCTGAGTGTCCATCCACTTTCACTTGTATGTACTTGCCACAGGGTCTATTTCTTGTCTCAGGAAGAACACACAGAAAAAGACATTCTTCTAATAACTAATTAATGTGCTCTGATCTCTGCCTGAAATAACTTCCCTGGCCTAGGGCCCAGCAACCCAGAGTAATAAAATAAACAGTCAATTGGCCTGGTGGCTGCTCCCTCCAACACAGGCTGCCTCTTTGGAGCACAGTAGCTCTGTGTCCCTCTGGCTCTGGCAGCCTCTCCTCCTGCCTCTGCTGTTTGTCTCCCTCCACTCTTGCTCTCGCTGGCATGCAGCCTCGAATCCCTCCTCCCTTGCACCATTTGGCTCTCTGGTCACAGAGGTGAATAGCTGGCTGCCGAGGGGCTGAGGAAGGCCCGGTGCTCTCACGGGCTGTAAGGGAGGCCTCGCTAGACCGTGACGGAGCTGAAGCAGGGGCCCGGGGGATTGGGTGTGGGACCTCGGGCTGCCAGAGCTAAGCTCCCTGGGAGGTTTGGGCTGGTCTGGAGGGTTGTGTGGCCCTTCCATAGCATGACTGCGACTCGAAGCTATGAGCACATGGTGAGGCTGCTAGGGTGGGAGGGGGCTACTCAGCTGACCTTTTTGACCTGACCTCCCCCACTTCTTCAGGGGGCTGTTTGCATCCTCCCCCAAAGGTGACTCAGCATCTGCCTATGGTTTCACCATCTCTCATCACAGCCCTGACATCCCCACTGCCCGGGCCTCTCCCCAGGCATTACAGCATCACTACCCCTGGAGAGATGATTCTCTGGAAAGCTGAAGGGCTAGAGAAGGGGTCACCATTCCAGGTAGACCCACTGACCTCTGCAAAGTCTATCTTACCAGCACAATCCCTGCAACACCTCGCTCCTTCCCCTCTCTGAGGTCAGCGGATGGCCTTCTCCTGTCAGGGCTCTGGTCTGCTGGTCTCTAAGTGGGGCCGGGTGAGAATCTGCCTTCCTCTCACAAGGCCTGGGTGCTACTCGAGGGAGCAGACGGCTCTAGGCTAGAGGAACTGGGTCCACCTGCCTCAGGTCTGGCTTAAGATCTGCCTTGAAAGTCAGGTAGCTGGAGGTCATGAGGAGAAGCACTTACTGAGAGGAGAAGGACCTCTGGAGAAAAGGCTTCATCCCGCCTCCATTGACAATGGGACAAGGCCGTGGAAAGAACGCGGCCGGCTCAGCAGAATCCAGGCTCCACCAGGTGCCAGACAAGAGACCTTGTTAGGAAGGTCTGACCTTTCTGAATCTCAGTTTCCTTATCTTTAACATGTGAATAGTGACAACTACCTCACAGGGTTACTCTCAGGATCAAGAGGGGAAAGAACCCACGCAGCTCCAGTTACGTTCCAGGCTCCGCACTTGGGGCTTCGCATTCCCCCTCCTCTTTCTATCTGATTCCCTAACAGGAGGCTTAGAGGCTGGCCCTCAGGAGGGTGGGGGAAGCCCTTGTCCAGCACTGCCCACAGTCAGGATGAAGGGGGAGGGGAGTTGTGTGCAGGGACGGGGGATCTTGCCTCCAAACCTCTGAGGGCTGGAGGAGGAGCATGAAGCGGAACTCTGTGGGCAGTGCTGGGTAGTGGGTTGGGCAGGCCAGCCCGGCACAGGGTGGGGTCAGGCAAAGGGAGGCCTGACAGTCTGGCCACTGTGAGTCACTTCACCCCATGGCAGAGGCCGCCGTGCTCCAGGGACAGTGGTGGCTGCTCCAGGGAGTATAGAGCTGACTCAGACCATCTACTACCTCACCTGTGTCTGTGGGGCACTTTTCATCTCCCTATAACCCTGTGAGGTCGACAGGGCAAGTATTATTGTTTGGACTCTGTTTTAAACCCAAGGCTTAGAGAGACCAAAGATTCAGAAACAGAATGCGAATACCTGTAATACAAGGCAGAAAAGGCCATTTCGAGTCTACTAAAGATATGCAAACCAAGAGCTCTGCGGTTTTCAGGGAAGAGAGTAGGTCAGGTTTGGGGTGAGGTGGGAATGCATCAGTTACGGCTTCACGGAGGAGGCACTGGGACTGGATTTGGAGACGAGATAGAAGTGTGCCGAGTACTTACAGGCAGTGATGAGGTGTTCATTTTCTCTAATTATTGTCTCTGCCAATAGGAGCACATGCCTGGTGTAGCCTTTGCTTTTCCCAGACTCATGTATATCATCTCAAAACCTTCACTGTATCCCTCTGTGCTAGGTAGAAGTCAAGTATTACCCCATTTATAAACCAGGGAAACTGAGGCAGTGGGCTCTTGAGTGACATGTCCAAGGTCATATCTGTGACAGTGCAGCCACTTATAAGGGTGCATTCCCCCTGAGCCAAGGCAGAAGCTTCCAGCAGCACTGTTTGTGGACCTCGGCCCCCCCTTTCCTGCCTGGGCGCTGTTCCAGCAGCAGCCTGAGGTCTGGCCCCGCTGTTGCAGAGATGGGTACTCTGGAGGCAGACTGGGTTAGGACTCTTGGCTCCATGCCTTACTCTGAATGTTTAGGTCACCAGTAAAGCTGGCCATATGCTTAGATTGCCAGACAAGCAGGACACAAAAAAATGAGGAAAATGTTATAAAATAATTTACTTAAGAAAATATGCAGAAAAGCAGTCCTTGTGGGAAAAATCAGAATTGTGTTGGACTTCCCTACACCTATCTTATGGCTTAGCACTTATCTATTCTGCATTGGATGGCAAGGGAGGGGGCGGACACCAAAATCTTTTCAGCTCTAAGGGCCTCTAAATATTTTCCTTTGGCCCCGAACTTGGGCGACCTATATCTCATCTACTCCACTGCAAAACTAAAATAATGCTGCCATGCGATACCGCTTGTAGGGCTGATTCAGTGGAATAATTCGGGTAAAGGTCCCAGAACAGCACCTGTCGCCCAGCAGGGGCTCAGGCCGCCCTGTCTTTCCTTATTCTTGCACGTCCCCATCTCAGCCATTCCCACCCAGGCTTGAATTAACTTTTCTTCGTTTATGCTGCTGTGGGAATGTTTTTGCCTGGCAACAGAGGCGACCTGTGTCACTTCCCATAGAGAAGCAGCAATGAGATCCCTCAAAAGGTTGTCCTTTCCGGACACAGTGGTGGCTTTGTGAAGGGGGCACTCGGTGCTGGAAGCCGTATCCAAATGTCCCTGAGAATTTACCCAGCTCCGTTCTCTGCTTGGCCTGGCTGTGTCTCCAGACTTGCTGGTGGCTTTGCTAGACTCTGTGTTTCTGCAGACTCGTGTCGTCAGCAAGTCTGGGGTCACGTGGGTTGGGCAAGAGGGCAGGACAGCAGCCCAGCCTCCAGGCGCTTGCTCAGCCACCACAGGCTGCGGCGCCAGAACATCCCGGGAAGTGGCCTCTGTTGTGCTTGGAAGTGGCACCCTTTCATCATCCGCTGGTACACCACGTCTCTCAGGGCTGGAATCTGAGACGCCTGTGTCGGGAAGACACTTCACCCCTGCCATTGGCCTGTTCAGGCTAGGCATTCTTGAGGCTGCCTCAGAATTGTTTCTTTCCACTCCTCTCTATGTCAGCTGTCCCTCAAGCCTTTGATGATATCCACCACCCTCCTCCTGCCTCAGAATCACACTTGTCACACCCCCTGCGGGGCCCTCTTAGGGCCTCTCAACCAAGCAAGCGTTGGTGCAGGTGCTCCTGCACACAGGCAAGAATGGATGGGGTTTCCCCGGCAAAGCATTGATTCTCATAAAACGTTGCTTCCAGAGGAATCTGGCCCTACTGTTTTTAAGTCCCAAGAATGTCCATTGAGAGCCAGTAGGCCTGGGGCCTGCTCTGGTGACCTGATGACAATAGCTTTTCCATACCTCATGCTGCTCATTGAGGCCGAGCTGTGAACCCCAAGGACGGACGTTTACAGAAATGTATACATTCCTGGGTTTGTGGACCCCAGAGCCGAACCTTTCCCCGAGGCCTGGCCCCTGGCCAGCCTCCTGCCAAACCCTATTCCTTTGTGGCCTTCTTGTCCCGCTTCTCATCCAGTCCCACGTGGGGCTCAGCCCTTTTGCATCTTCTGGTCAAGAGGAGACCTAAGGCAGGAAAGGGGGCAGTGACTACTGTGGTTTGGAGCATGAATTCTCCAATCTGAGTGCTGGGTTCAAATCCTAGCTCTGCTGTTTACTGGTTCTGTAACTTGGGGCTCATTGTTTGACCTTTGTCTCCTCCTCTTTAAAATGGGCTGGTAATTGGGTGTCAGATATGGGTTTTAGTGCTTATGATCTGTAACTAATTTAATCCTCAGCACACCCTAGGAGGTGGGTTAGGCCCATTTGATGATAAGGATGATGGTACTCACATCAGAGTAGGTGTGATGATGAAATGAGATAATCCATGGAGAGTCTAGAACAGTGCCTGGCACATGGCAGGTGCTTAATAAATCAGAACTCTTGTCTCTCATGTTATAGAGGAAGGTACTGAGGTTTGCAGAGGTGAGGGGCCTTCCAAAGGGCCTATCCCTCATGGTTAGAGAAACCGGATCTGCTGGCCTCAGGCCATGAGACCCTCTGCCTCTCCCGGAGGCGCTGAGAATGCAGGCAGTGCTCTCCAGTGTGCAGCTATCGTGATTTACTCTCATCACGGCCCAAGGGCCAGCTTTCAAAACGGTCCTCTGACGGGAGGAAATCCTGCCTTCACACCCAGGTTGTTGGGCTGGGATCCTGGAGGGAGACGAGGGGCTTCTGAAGGCAACCTAAAACCCTCCGGTGCATGGCGGGGGGCCTGGGCAGCGGTGCTCTGGCAGCAGCTCCTCTGCCGGCTCCTGGGGCGGGGAGTAGTCCACAGCAACCTGACTGGCACTGCCCTGGACCCACGGAGTAAACTGACCGCTCCCATGCTTCCCAAAGGCACAGGCGGAATGTCCATGAGCTGGAAGAAACCCCAGCGAGTCTCCCTGGCCACCACCCTGTTGGGCAGAGCAGGACCACTGCTCCAGGCCCTCCTTGGGAGGTTACGGTGGGCTGAGAGCTCAGGCCCTGGGGACATGGCCTCAGGTCCCAGCTCTGCCCTGACCTTCTGCGGGGCCTTCATCAGCTCTCTCTGGCCGTGATTACCTCAGGGTAGAGGACAGCTGAGGAGAGAAGGATTTGGCGTAGACTGATATAGGTTTGGGTTCCAGCTCCACTACTGGCTATTTAACTTGGGGAGAGCCAGCTAACTGTTCTAAGCCTTGGTTTCCTCAGCACCTACCCGTAGCGCTGCTGTGAGGCCCGAAGGAGACAGTGTTCTCGGCGTGATTAGCACGATGTCTGGCATGTGGAAATGCTATTGACTGTCAGTGGTATTATCAGTAAGATGAGAGGGTTGGTCTAGAGCAGGTTGTCAACCCAGGCTGCACATTAAAACCAACTGGGGAGCTCCTCACAGTGACCAGGGCCCCACTCCTGAGCAAATGGGTCAGAACCTCTAGGAGTGGGGCTCAGGCACCATTAGCTAGAGCCCCACGGTGGCTCGAATGTGCAGCCGGGGCTGGGGACCACTGGTCCAGGAGGTCTCCAGGTTCCCTTCCCAACTCTCAGTCTCTGACTTGACACCCTTCTCCTGAGGACTCCTTGATTCTTCCCTCTGAGTGTGAATACAGGCCCTCAAGGTTTAGGAGGAGGTTCTCAGCACTCAGCGAGGGATCCCCCTGGAGTCTGTGTTTGTTGGGCTACACATCCCTTAGCTCCTTGTCCATCATGGTCTTGGGAGATGCTGTTGGGACTCTGCTCTGGCCAGTTCCAACCCAAGGCAGTTCTGAGCTCCTCCTCTCAGTCCGGCCTCATGCTATTTGGGCTCAAAGCTGTTCTGAGCTCCTTCTAAAGGACTCGGTTGTCCTCAGAGATGGTTCTCTTCATTCTCTGGCTCACCACATGCCTTTGCTCATGGCTTCTAAAGGAAGCTGTGCAGAGGGGCAGTGACCTTGGCCTCTCACTGCCTTCACCAAGAGAAGAGCAAAGAGAGGCACCTGCCACCTGAGGCCACAGCCTAATACAGATGCTGGAGAGCAGGACCAAAAGTCTAGGATGGGATGGAGATCCACTATCTGTAGTGTTCCCTTCACACTGTTTTTATCATGTACGAGCTATTTTTATCTTAAATGACTGACTAACCAAATAAATAAATAATGGCCTATGGAAAGCCAGTGGAGTCCACGGATTGTCTGATTCTAACCATGCTTCTGTGCAGGAATTTCAGCAAGCCACCTCCAGTTGTGAAGTCTGCAATACTCTGTATAGGAATCAGTTTCAACCCATGCTTTATTTCTGAACCCAAATCTTGCTTTTTTTTCCCTACTGATTCAGGGAGGGAAAATGATAAAGACCAAGAAGAACAGATTTGTTATTTTAAGTCTATCTGTGGTCCCACCTCCTCCACAAAGGTCTGTGGATTCCCACCCGGCAGTCATCTCTCTCTGCCATGGAATCTCATTGCTCTGGGTCTGCCCTTCTGCCATGACTCACATCACTGTCTGCCTTGTGGTAGATATGCAGTGTTGATCCGAGAGCAGAATCCCTGCATTATGACTGTGCTCCCTTCTGCCAGGTACCTGCTGGAACAGGATTTCCCAGGCATGAGGATTGGGCCTGAGCCAACCACGGACTCCTTCATTGCAGTGATGCATGGGGAGGTGGAGGGGATCATCCCCGGGAACGCCCTGGTGGTGGATCCTAAGAAGCCCTTCAGGAAACTGAATGCCTTTGGCAATGCCTTCTTGAACAGGTGAGTGCGGAGGGAATACACACTATGGGTGTTCTCTTTTCTTCTTCTTGGAGTATGAGCAGTGAAAGGATGGGGCAGGGTCTTGGGAGGCTCAGTGCCTTTCACAAACCTAGAGTGTCTCTTGATGTCTCTTTCTTTGGGGACTGGAGCTGAGTCAGTCACCGTTGACTAGGGATGCAGGAGCTGCAAATGCTGGGCTGATTCCTCCTGATCAAGGAGCAGGGAAGGGGACAATGAATTAAGTCACATCCCCCTAATCTGCACCTCCCTCCAATCAAAGCGGAGAGGGCTGCTCTGCATAGTTCCCAGCTTTTGCCTATGAATTATGGGATTTGCATCCACCTGGAAGGAGGTGGAGGATGGTTCTTCTCTCTTCATGGACATTGTTTTACGTGGTGGAAAGAACCCAGGACTTAAGGTGGAAACCCAGAGTTTGAGCACTGACTCTCCTACTAAACTCACGGTGTGACCTTGGACAGGTCCCCTCACTCTGCTGAGTCTGAGCCTGCAGACACCAGGGTCCTTGTGAGGGTTTGGGTGGAGACAGCTGTAGGGAATGCTGGGCGAGCTGATCTGGGCCTTCTGATTATTATTCTGCTTCAGTGAAATGCAGGCTCATCCTCTGGTTGTGCTTCTTAGGTAGATCCACACCACAGTTTTGCATGCGTATTGCTCTTAAAAGTTTTAAAACTACTTTCTCTAATTGGAGGTGTTTAGAGTAGAGGTAAAGACTATGGGCTTTGGCCTCAGACAGAGCTGGCTTCAAATCCTGCCAAGTAGCACCATGGATCTTGGACCAATTACCTAACTTCTCCGTGTCTCATTTTCCCATCTGTAAAATGGGATAATAGTTTATCCTCCTCCAGGGCAAGGGGACTGATACGGCCTTTGTGGAAAAGTTGACATTTGACATGGGTGTTCAATGATGAGTGAAATGACACTGAAAGTGTAAAAAAAAAAAAAGAACATTCTGGGCAGAGAAAACTGAAAAAAAAAAAAAAAATACAAGCAGAGAGGAATGAAAGAATGTGGCTTAATGGAGGAACCCTCAGACCAGAACATAGAGGGCATTGTGAGGCGTGCGTCCCCCAGGAGCCCTCGGCAGCTGAGATGACAGATACTTAGATTGACTGTTGCCTGGGGTCTGCCAGCCACGTCTATTGCGAGGACAACAGGGACCGGGGAAGCCCCGTCCATGTGCCACCAGCTTCCCTGCAGCCATGCAGAGGAGACGACACCCCAGACGTCTGGGTTCCATCTCCGTGCTGCCAAATATCCTATTTCCCATCCCCCATCAGCTCCCCTCCCCTCCCCTCTGCAGGTATTCCAAGCCTCTCCAATCACCTCAGCCTCCTCTTTCAGCAGATGACCTGCTTCCCATTCTAGAGAAGATAGAAGCCAGTGTCCATGGATTCCATCTGGTTGTTTTGTTTCTGAGTTCATTTGCATTCGTCCTCTCTTCCTTGCACCCAATCTGCAGAGAGCGGTGGCTTCTCTTTCCCTCTAGATCTGACTCCTTCCTTCCCCTGGACCGTGCTGCAGGGCCATCCTCTCAGGGACCCGCTCCATTAATTATTCCTTCCCTTTCTGACAACTCCACCCTCCCTTGTCTCCTCCCCTCCGCATGGCAATATCTCCTCTTGAAAACCCTACAGTGCATCCTACTGACTTTCACCCTCTCTGCTTTCCTTTCATAGCCAGGTTTCTTGGCTTCGCCTCCACCCTTCTTCCTGTCCCCCAGGCTGTGGAACCTGGCTTCACCCTGTCACAGCTGCCTGTGAAGGTCATCATGACCTCACAGTGATCCTGAGAGGTGGGCACTTTCCATCCTTACCTTACCCCACCTCTCTGTGGTATTTGTCTCTCTCAGCCACTGTCCCCTCTTAGCTCTTTGGCCCTCCTCCTACCCCTCGCTGGCCAGGCCCTCTGCAGTCTCCTCTGATCCCCTTTTTCTCTGGCTCCTGTGACCTGGTCACCCTCAGTCAGGCCCATCCTCAGCCCCCTCCCTACCCTCGTCACTCCATGCGCTCCCCCTGGGTGATGCCTCCATCACAGCCCTGGCTCCAAACACCAGCCCCATGCACATGACTACCTGGTCACCAAGTGACAGAAACCCAGCTCAAGCTAGCTTCAGCAAAATGTGAAATTTATTTTAGAATACTGGGTTGTGCCATAGAACCTAAGGACCAGAGTGTGGCTGGGCCTCAGGCATAATGGAAGCCATGGGCTTTGATAGGACAGGGGCTGTGTCATTGACTCTTCTACCCCCGTTGTCTAGCATGGTGCCAGGCACATGGGAGGCGTTCCACAAAGATTTATTGAACTGAACTGGACATGCTGACAACAGTCGTATCTGATTGCGTCACTCTTTTGCTTAAACTGTTCCAATGGGTTTCTACTGCCCTCAGTATAAAATCCAAATTTCTTAATGTGGCTTTCAAGGCCCTCGTGTTCTGGCCCCCACCTCCCTGTGCAGCCACATCTCTGGCCACTCCACCCTTCCTGTTCTCCCCTCAAAGATGTGCTCTTCCCTGGAATGGTGCATTCTCGTTCTCTCTCTCCCGTTTCTGTGCTGGAGTTGCACCTGCTTGTATTAGTTTCCTAGGGCTGCTGTAATAAGTTACCACTGGGTGCCTTGAAACAACAGAAATATATTGTCTCTTAGTTCTGGAGGCCAGAAGTCTGAAATCAAGGTGTTGGCAAGGCCATCCTCCCTCTGACTCCTCTAGAGTCTTCTTTGCTTTGCTTCTTTGCTTCTTCCAGCTTCTGGTTGCCCCAGGTGTTCTTTGGCTTATGACAGCATAATTACAATCTCTGCCTCTTGTCTTCAAATGGCCGTCTTCCCTCTGTGCGTTTCTGTGTCTTCACACGGCATTCTCCTGTCTTATGAAGACACCAGTCATACTGGTGTAGGGCACTCTACTCTAGTGTGACCTCTTAACTAGTTACATCTACAATGACCCTATTTCCAAATAAAGTCACAATCTGAGCTACTGGGGGTTGGGACTTCAACATATCTCTTTGGGGGACGTAATTCAACCTGTAACACTCTTCTACTGTTACCCCTTATCTCTGTCTGGAATGCAGTCTTCTCTCCGTTACACACACGCACGCACGCACACACACACGCACGCTGGCTTCCTGCCCACACCCCTGTCTACCCAGCAAATGCTGGTCATCTTTCAAAGTCTTAGTTCAAGTTCTGCCTCCTCCGTGAAGCCCTCCCTGACGGCCTCTCCTTGCATCCCTTGCCTCCTCCCCTAGTCTGCATCTCTGTATCCAGCTCACTGGGTAGCAGCGGCCCCTTTCCCTGTCTGCTCCCTGAGACTGTGGGACCATATAATATACCCAGGATAGTAAGACGCCTGTTGGCTTCCACCAGAAATGGCATATAAGAGAGAAGGCTTAAAGTAAGAAGGATCTAAGTTAGGTTTGCCAATTTGTGTTTTGAGACTTCGGGTTGTGGCACTAGAAATATTTCCTTGAATAAGGCTTGACTGCTATCCTAATGTTGATGTTTGGTATAGCCTTTTAGAAGCCCAAATAAATAGTCCTGAGTGTTGTGACCCATTCTTCAAGGCCAGCTCCAGTGCCTCCTCCTCCAGGAAGCCGTCCCTAGAAGCCTCCTCTCCACCTGGGATCTCCTGAGCCCTTCACCTGCCCTCCCTCGGGGTGCTGGTCCCGTTGCACCTCCTGTTGTGGTTGCTCCTGTGCCTGCCTCTGCTCCCCCACCAGACTGTGCTCCTTGGGGGCAGGGATCCACGTCTGCACATCCTGGCATCCCCGACAGCAGAGGTTCACAAACGTAGGACCACGGCTGCCTCAGTCTCACCCAGGGAGCTTCGTCTAAGTACAGATCCCAGGCCCACCACTGGGGCCGAGTCTGGTCTGAGGCCTGGGAGCCTGCAGCGGAAGGCAGCCAGGCTGCCGAACCCCTGCCTCAGGGCAGGGAAGGTGGCGTGTGGCTGAAACAAGGGTGTGCGAGAGGCAGCAAGAGGACAGTGGCTCAGCCTGGGTTTCCTCTCACCCCTGCAGGTTCGTGTGTGCCCAGCTGCCCAACCCCGTGCTGGAGAGCATCAGCGTCATCGACACGCCGGGGATCCTCTCTGGGGAGAAGCAGAGGATCAGCCGAGGTAAGCGAGGCACCTGGTAGGACTCGCTCTGGCTCCATGCTACGTTCTTTCTCATATGTTCTCTCTCTTTCATACCAAGAGAGAGGCTCCCAGGGCCTTGCAATCCCTTGATGAGCTGGCCCTGCCTTGTGTGCTGTGTGAGGTCGTCCTAGGCAGGGGCCAGTGGTTTGGGTCCACTGTAGCTCAGGTGACTGCTGGTCTCAGTCTTCTCATCTGTAAAGTGGAGCCATCGATATCTGCCTTACTTCCCTCATCGGGTTTATGCATTCTCCGAGAGGCTCCTACTGTGGGCCAGAGCCTGGTTGCTTCTGAAGTTCCTGCTGTCCCTGCCCCGGGAGCTTGCAGTTCTGCAGGGGAGGCAGATGCACACAGAGAACTTCAGCTCCACGGGGGAAGGACGAGCACATGCTCTGAGGCCTAGCAGCGGAGCTGGGTCAGCAAAAGCACTTTGAAAACTTTCATTCCGCGCAGATCTGGGGTAACTGCTCATTAAGGGAGGTCACCGGCACGGTAGTGAGGAGACGGACTCTGCGCCAGACTGCTGGGGTTCCAAGCCTGCTTCTGCCACCTCCTTGCAGAGTGACCTTGGGCAGTGTCCTTACTTCAGTTGGTTCATCGGTAAAGTAGGGGGAAATAATTCTGTCTACCTTGTAGAGTTGTTTGAGGATTGAAAGAACTAATACAGGTAAGAAGCCTTCTGCATGGACATAGCACGTGCCCAGCACGCATGAGGTGTTAGAGATCGTCACCACTACCGTCAGCATCGGCTCTAAAATGCTAGACTGATGCTGTAAAAAGCTAAAGAGCAGCTGCTCCTGGCTTCCACACCTGGACTCTCCTGCCACATCATGCTGTGTGCCCCAGTGGTCCCCCCACCCCTTCTGTGCTGTGTGCTGTATCTCTGGCAAGGAAAGCCAGTGAAGCCACAGCCACCCCAGTACTGGAGCCGGGAGCTGGGCTGGAGCCAAATCAGTGCTTGGAAGTCAGCCTCCAGGAAGGAAAGGGTCTGGACTGGCAAGAGTTGTCTGGGCAGCAGCGGGAACTCTGGCCCGAACCGACTTTAGGTGACTGTCTACTTCCCTCCCGCGTGTGCCTTGACTCCCTGCACAAACTCTGTCGTGCAGGATGTCTGCACTGTCACAGGTGGGTGCCCAGAAACCCCCTCCACCAGGGGCATGGCCTGCATGGGCTGGCACTCACTCACCCCCAGGCCGCCATGAGAAGAGCAGAGGCCTTGCGGGCAGCGGGCCACGTTTGGACAGTGGCTGTACTGATGAGGCCCAGCCGCTGCCGGCACCGACCCAGGTGCAGGCCACTGGTGCCAGGCCTGGGCCGCCGTCCAGCGCCCCTGGGAGCCGCCTCGGCTTCCTCTTGGAAAGAGCGGCTCTCTTGTCGGCATTGGGTGGCAGAGCCAGGCTCGGCTCTTTGGGGTCCACCGTGACTGTGTGAGTGGGTACAGCAGCCCCTGCTGGGGGTGGGGAGGGAAGACAGCGGGGAGGCTCCCCGGGCCAGCAGCCTGCTCAAGGGCCACATGACCCCCGTCTGTCCTGAAGGGAAGACAGACCCTGCTCTTCCAGGGACCTCGTTCTGGAGCAGGTGGGAGGGAGCGGTGGGCCCAAGGCTCCAGCAGGAAAGCCCTGCCCCTCCTTCCCTCCCTCACTCCTGGTTCACTGAGGAGGTGAGACTTGGGAAGAAGAGGGGTCAGGAGGGGCCCCAGAAACTGTTAACACTTCCTGTAATTGGCGGCCCATCCATGAAAGTAGGGTATCTGTAGAAGGTCCCAGTGAAGGGGATCTGGGGGACCTGGGCCCCGAGCTCCCTGACTCGGGCTGTATGGTGGTGCAGGGGGCGAGGGGGAGCTGGTCTGAAGCTGTAGAACCCTCGGCCCTGGGAAGAGAGGGGCGTCTCACCCCCCGCTCCTTCCGGCCTATGTGCCCTTTGTCGGCACCTGGTGCCCTGTGGGGGGCAGCTTGGGTGGCGCTCTGTCTGGCTTCTATTGGTTTCCCTAAACACTCCCTCACTCCCCACCAGGCCCCACCCTGACCCCCCAGCTCGGGGTTCATCTGAGCTCATCCTGAGTTTAGGCCTAAAGGGGATTTACAGTTTCTCACGGGCACCTGTGTCTCCTCAAGGAAGGCTCAGGAGAGCCAAAACCTGTCCATCGGAACCACCTCGGGGGTGGGGTGGCTTATGTACCTGCAAACCAGTGCAGCCTGACAGGTGGGCCCGGGGAGGACTCCAGCCTCTGGGGTTCCCAAGGGCACTGGACGGGGAATTCAGAGAACCTGTGTGGGTCTCAACAGGTCAATTTCTCCTGAGCCTTAATGTCCCCACGTGTAACAAGGGTAATGATACCCATTGCATGACCTTGTGAAGTCCCTGAGATGGTAATGGAAACACAGACATCAGCTCTGGGTCTGGATCACAGTGAGCTCCCTTCTTTCCCCTTTATCTGCCCATTATACAACCCAGCATAATCTATGTGAATGGCCTCCCTTGCAGTTGTGCAGTGCACAGCCTGTGCAACTGTATCTGGCAGCCCTGCTTCAGGGACACCTGCCTTCTTCAGCTTCTGTCCTATTGCATTCTTTTCCTATTCCTCTACCTTTCCTCCCGCCTTCATCTTTGGATCGCAGTGGCTGCCCTACGCAAATTGAGTGCTTGGTTTTATTGCCTGCCCTTCCTATTCCCTCCCATCCCACACTGACTAAGCACCAGGTTCCACCCTACCTCTGGGAGAAGTGATGGCCCCATGAGTGGCCAGTTTGTTCTCTGCTCTCTTGAGTCCAGACTACAAATGCAGATGCTGGCAAAAGCAGCCTGTGATAAAAACAAGAGCTGGGCTGCCAGCACTGCATTGCCAGCCTGGGGCAGTGCTGACCTCAGCACCCCAAGGAGGCCAGGAAAATGGGGGGGGGCATTAGATATCCTCAGATATGAAGGGGACCCCAAATGGGGAGAGTTTCCAGTATGCAGAGTCCCTCTTCATCCTTTCTCACAACCAGCCATAGGACTTGGTGGTTCCAGTTTATACCTACACACATATACACCCACACATCCACATCTCCCTCCACACCCCCCCGCACACAAGTGTGTGGACAGAAACAAGCACGCTTTATATGGCTTCTAGCCTGGGCCCCTCTGCACAGATTTTGTGCTTCTTCCCTTCCTGTGGCCCAGGGCAGGACAGAGCCCCTTGGATAGTCCCACAGACTGTGCCTTGTACGCGCACACCCAGCCGGAGGCGGGTGGAGCCTGAAATCCAGCCCACCCTCTGTTCACTGAGCCTCATGCCAGGCGCAGGGCTGTGTCTCACCAGAAGAGAGAGTCACCTTATCAAATCTGCACAGAGCCACCTCTGGGCCGGCGGCCCCAGTGTGCACATCTGGACAGTGAGCTGCTCCCGAGGGCTCCCCAGGCCTCAGGCTTCACGGGAAGGAGCACTCAGGCCCAAGCCAGAGCCGGGCAAAGTGTGGTCCTTGCTCAGCTGCGGCCCAACTGCCCGGGCCTGGGGATGGGTGTCTTTGGGGGAGAGGGGAAGCAGGAGACGTACGGGAACCTGAGCCTGGGAGGTCCCAGGCCGGCACTTGACTCTGGGTGAAGAGGCACTGGGGGGCTGCAGAGGGGCAGGGAGGCTGTTCCTGGAAGTGACAGGATGTGGCCAGCCCAGGGCTCATTACTGGGAAGGAGTGAGGATGCAGCAGAAGTGGGAGGCTCCGGAAGCCTGAGTGTCCTCGTACTCGGGAACTGCGTTTCCTGGCTGCTTCTCAGCTAGAAATCCCCGCAGGCCCCTCCCTAGGAAAGCAACCCCTTGGGGTTGGTGCTCACACCGCTCCCAGCGGACTTCCTCCTGCACAGGTGAGCTCAGCAGGGCCAGAGCAGGTAAAAACTGTGCCCAGGTCACAAAACTGCATGGGGACTCGATCTCCTGATTCCCCATCCAGTGGCTCTTCAGCACATGAACATCGCCTGCCCAGGAAGAAGGCAGGGAGTAGGAATGAGGACAAGTCTCCCCGGGGCCGACCGTGGAGGGTCTGGGCTGCCCCTCACAGCCTCACATCCCTGGCCCATCTGTGGTATCCTCACTCTGGGCCCCAGACTGCGTGCTGTACTCAGGTGCCCGTGTGGGCATCACGTGCCGGGGCAGAGCAGCAGAGTCCTGACTCCTTCGGAAGGGCTTGCTGACAGCCTGTGCTCATCTGGAGGCCTGTGACGAGGCTGTTGGGCCACTTTTCGGGGTTACTTCTAGGAGTGTGGCATTTGTCCCCGTTGTCGTCTGAACTCTTCCCACATTTTGGAAATTGATGCCTTTTTACTCTTCAGCTAAAATGTCTTTAAATCTTGAAAAGATTTTTTGAGGTGGGATGGAACCTCTTATATAGCCCCCCCAGGTGTGCCTGGTTCAGGGGCTCAGTCCTCCGAGCAAGAAGGCTTTGTGGACAGGAGTGAAGGATCTGAATGCGTTTGACACCACCTGCCTGTGTGAGCGTGGGCGAGCCCCTTAACCTTTCTGTCCCCTCTCCCTTCCCTGAAAGATGTGTGTCCTGTCTGCCTCCTGGCATATGCAGAGTTATGAGGATCAGATGAGATCGTGTGGCTGAAGATACAAAGAAATGTGCTGCCTGTCAGTGCCCTTGCATTGCACGTCATTCAGAGGAGGAAGCTGGCGGGTGATTAAGTTTTCTTGCTTGTTGTGTTTGTCTCATCGATTTCCTCCTGCCCGGCATTACTGAGAAATGCTTTCTTCCCAGTCCTCTGGAGCCTGGGGGGCACTGAGGAGAGCCTCAGATCCCTGCAGGCTGCCCAGTCTCTGGACCTGATGCCTGCAGACCAGACGCCCTGGAGCCAGCCGACTTGCTGTACTTAATTCTGGTAATTCTAGGAAGGCCAGCTTCACTGTTAAGACTCTTGGGGCTCGAGTCTCCCCCTGCCCACTAGTCCATATTTCATGAGCCCTTGGCTGCTGCAGGTGCTCCAGAGCTCCTGTTGGGGGTCTCAGAGTCGTTCCCAGGACCAGTGAGGGAAAGGGGGCCTGTCACCCCAGACGTTAGGGCAGAGCCTCCGGACTGAGTCCCAGCCTTCCCTCCGCTGTCAGACCCTGTTGCCATGGCTCTACCATTGACCTCTCATCAGTCAGTAGTTATTATCCCCATTTTACAGCTGAGAAAATTGAGGGCTTGTCCAAGAAAATAAATGAGAGAGCTAATCCCATGCCCTTTTCCTTAATGGGTCCAGTTCATGCCTTTCAGATTCTCCCATTCCTGGATAGGCATAAGGCAGTCCAGGAAACAATTAAATACTCATCCTGGAGGCTGCTAGGCTCTGAATAGCCAGGGGCCCGAGGCTGAGCTTCAGAGGAAGCTCATGGCATCATTGCTTGATTCTCAGGGTCCTCACAGCCCACCTGGGGAGAAAGCGCCCGGCATTATTGACCTTGTGGTTTGATAGCAGCTTGCCAGATCATGCAGAGTTTGCAAAAGTAGGAGGATGAATAGGAGGCGTCTGTGCTTATAAAATCCTAGAAAGGGTTCCCCGAAGCCATCTGCCTGTCCTCAAGCAGGAGCAGACTTCACATAGGCTCCCCGAGGCATTGAGACAGCGGCCCCCAGCCTTCTTTCTCCCTGTCCTGCGGGGGCTTCCTTGTGTCTCGTCTCCATCCATCCTGCTGTACTCCCCACCCTCACCCCTCATGCCTCCGATCTTAGAAGCAGGGAATTGTGAACCCAGAAAGGAAGCCCAGAGATCTTCCAGTCCAGCCTGCTGTCTTGACAGGCAAAGAGATCAAGGACCAGAGGAGGTGGCTGCTTGCCCTAGGGCACACAGCAAGTTAATGGCTGAGCAGAAAGTAGAGGTGGGCTTGTCCAGGCCAGTGCTCCTCGGGTGACACCTTCAGAGCACATCATCTCATGGAAACTGGCTCTTAGAAGGAGCTCTTTGTAAAGGGAGCAGAGCGATAGGAACAGCCAGGGTCACATGCAGTTTCACCTGTGTTCTCTTCTTTGATTGAATCCTTACAGTGACCCTGTGGCAGGTTCTGGTGGGTTCCCCTTCAGAGACCAGACAACTGAGGCCCGGAGATGACTTGGTCGCTGTCCCCTGATGTAAAAGGCAGAACAGGGCTCATGCGTCATTTCTGTTCACAAATACTGATAGAGCCCCTATTGTGTGCTGGGCACAGTGCTGGGTGCGGGCGAAGTGGACAAGGATGAGCGCGGCCCCGCCCTGCCCGGCTCGCAGTGCAGTGGGGGGACCACTCATCCTGAGAACTTCCGTGGGTGAGCAGAGGGACAAGCATCTGTCCGAGCGCTATGAGAACACCGAGGGGCATCTGACCCAGGTAGGGACAGGAACGGGCAGAGGGCTGTCCTGTTCTGGCAGCACCAAGTTGGTGCTGTCACTCTCCCACTCCACCCCAAACTGGGGGCTGGTCAGGTGGCAGGGACTTGCCCCTATCCCCCTCCAGGCCATGGCAGCTGAGCCTCTTTCTGCTTGGCTGGTGCCATCAGGGATTGGAGAGGCTGGAGGGGTGGGAGCCACTTCTCTCTGCAGCTTCTCAGGCCCCTTTGCTTTCCCCAGCCTGTGGAGGGGTGGCTGGAGTGTTGGACTCGGGATTGGAAAACCTGAGTTCTGGTCCTGGCTCTGACCCCACCACTGCACAGCCCTGGGCACATCTCTCGCCCTCTCTGAGCCTGCATTTCCCTGTCAGTAAAATGTCCATAACCAGCTGGTTATGAGCAGCTGATGCGAGCCAGGGTGCCTCTGTGAGCACTGAGGGCTGAAATGTGCTGTACAGGTGGGAGGGAGCAGCCGCACACTCTTCCCAGCAGCCCTCCCCACGGCCTGCACACCACAGCTAAAATCCTTGTCAGGCCAGATTTGGGACTAGGTCTCCGCAGAATGCCAGAGGCCTCTGAGCCCCGCTTCCCTTCCAGCTTCTACGGAGGCAGGCTTACTGGTTCCAGGCAGCAGAGCAGCACAGCTGTGACCTGTTTTCTGGGGTGGGATTGTGGCAGGGGGCTTGGATGGCCTGATTTTCTGAGCCCTCTGGCCTCCTTCCTGCCCACAGCTCTGAGGGACTGCCTTTGAGAGGTGAGAGCCACCCTGCACCCGGCTGTGCTGAAGGGAAGGTTAAACATAGCCAGGAGCCATCTCTGGGAAGGGGGGAGGAGAGGGGAGCAGGAGAGCCGGGGCAGGCCGCAGGCCCACCTGGAGCAGGAATGCTCGGGGCCTCCTTGCTCTGTGGGGCTGCTGGCTGGGCCAGTGTGCTGGGGAGGGCAGGGCAGGGAGGCAGGGAGGTGGCTGCCCTCATGGCATGTTCAGGGAGCCCAGGGCCTGGGTGGCTGGGTCCAGTCCAGTCCTGGCCCCACCCTTTGTGGGCTGTTTGACTCTCACCTCATCTGTGAACCTCAGTTTCCTCCTCTGGAAAGTGGGAATGACACTCCTCACCCTGTCTACCTCAGAGGGTGTTGTGAAGGTGAAATGAGGTCGTGACACAAGTCTTGCCAGCCGAAGCAAGCATCGAACCTGGGGTTAGAGAGCTAGGCACGTGCCCCACTGGCTGCCTCCTATGAGCAGGGTGGTCTGGGCTGAGTCACTGGGTGACCATCTCTAGGTGGCGCTGACAATGCTCCCACCTTGTTACTGGGGAGAGCTGGGCCCCCGAAGCACTTTCCTGGGCCTGTCCCTTAGTGGGGAGGGCCCCTTTCCTTGAATGTAAAGACTAAATGGGAATAATGATGTTACTGAGCAGATACTTTGTGCTGGGCTCCAAGTGTATTTAGTCCTTATAATTCTATTAATTAAGTACTATTAGTAGGCCCATTTATAGATGAAAAAGCACTGACTCGGAGACACTGAGTAACTTACTCAAGGCCAAATAGTGAAAATGTGGAGGAGCCGGGATTTGAACCCAGATCTGACTCCCAAGACCATGCTTTTCCTACTGCACCTGCTGCCTCTCCCCAAAGCCCTCCCCTACACCCCAAAGGCCCCTCCCCCTGACTGTCCCTCTGCCGGCAGGGTACGACTTTGCGGCCGTCCTCGAGTGGTTCGCCGAGCGGGTCGACCGCATCATCCTGCTCTTCGACGCCCACAAGCTGGACATCTCTGATGAGTTCTCGGAGGTCATCAAGGCCCTCAAGAACCACGAGGACAAGATGCGGGTGGTGCTGAACAAGGCCGACCAGATCGAGACGCAGCAGCTGATGCGCGTCTACGGGGCCCTCATGTGGTCCCTGGGGAAGATTGTGAACACCCCGGAGGTGATTCGGGTCTACATCGGCTCCTTCTGGTCCCAGCCCCTTCTCATCCCTGACAACCGGAAGCTCTTTGAGGCTGAGGAGCAGGACCTGTTCAGAGACATCCAGAGTCTGCCCCGAAACGCTGCCCTGCGCAAGCTCAATGATCTCATCAAGAGAGCTAGGCTGGCCAAGGTGCGGCCGCCCCTGGGGAGATGGGCAGCACGGGCAGGGCTGAGGGTTTAGAGTGGGATGGTCAGCTACAAGAACTGAGGGCCGCTGCCTGCAACCCTGAGCTATTGCCTGCCCGTGAGAGAATGTCCTATAGCCAATGCATCACGAGCGTCAGCCATGCCAACTCTGGCAGCTGCGGGGCAGGGTGGTGTGGTGGTTATGATCATAGGCCCTGGTGTCAGATGGCCAGATTGGAGCCCGACTCCACTGTTTACTACTGTGTGATGCCAACCGCAGCAAGGCCTTAGTCTCTGTGCCTGTTTCCACATCTGTAAAATGAAAGGCTTCTCGGAGGATGACGTAGAATAAAGAATGTGAAGGCCCTCATCACATCACCTGGCATCCTCAGACGTGCTCAGTGAATGTTAGCTGTTGTTACTGTCTTCCTCATCATCAACATCATCACCAGCATTACCATCCCTGTTACTGCCTTGACCTTAACCTCCCCCTAATCTCACCTTTCCACGTGATCTAGAAAAATAGCTCAGGGCTGCAAGCAACATGGGAGCAAGAGGGTGGAGGTAGAAAGTATTTCACAAGTAGGAGCAGGAGGAGAGGAGGGATTTATGGGAGGAGATGGGGTGAGAGTCACTCTAGAGGGAAGGAATGAATCAAGGCTCTTGATCCAAAGGTCTCTCCTCACCCGTCTCTCAGGTTCATGCCTACATCATCAGCTCTCTGAAGAAGGAGATGCCCTCAGTGTTCGGAAAGGATACCAAGAAGAAGGAGCTGGTGAACAACCTGGCCGAGATTTATGGCCAGATCGAGCGGGAGCACCAGATCTCACCTGGGGACTTTCCCAACCTGAAGAGGATGAAGGTAACCAGGGTCTGGGGCTCCAGGACAAGGGACAATGTCACTTGAGCTGGCTGAGCAGCCTGAGTATGGAGAGGCCACCCTTGGATGCCCCGGATGGAAACTCAACCCAGAATCAGAAGCCGGGGAGATGGCCCTATGTCTGTCTTCCCTGCTGGGCTGTCACTGGCCCAGCAGGTGTCATATCCGGGCCTGGGCAGAAACACAGAGCCCCAGTGCCTCCAGTGGGGCAGGGGTGTTACATGGTGGTTGGGGTCTGATGCCTCCAGTTTATGACCTTTCCCAGTCACAGCCACCACAGGCTTGGAATCCCCACCATGTGATGTGAAATGGGACAAGTCACCTGACAAAGGTGCTCCAGGTCCTCAAGTGCTTTTACAAGGGGGCTCCTGGCCCCCTCTCTTGGGCCGGGAACGATCACACGTGGTTTCTCATGTTCTTCCCCAAACCAGTCCTCTGAGGGAGGCATGGTCATCCTCCTGTTCCAGATGAGCAAACTGAGGTTTACAAAGGTAACTAACCTCTATAATTAATTGCCTGCAGTGTTCTGAGTGTAGTGTTCACATAAGCTGCTAGTAGAAAAGCTAGGAACTGTCATCATGGTTCCAGCAAGAAACCACAACAGCATACTAACTGGATCCTCTCTGAGCCTCTGTCTCTTCATCTGTAAACCGACGCTCCAGAAGCACCGCCTCATGGATGTTGTGAGCATCAGTGAGATGATATTGGCAAGGCACTTAGCACAGAGTCTGCCACAGACTATGCCCTTCAAATGCAATAGCAGGTTAGGTAAGATGTCACCACTGCAGGAAACTGGGTGATGAACACAAGGGACCTACCTCTCTGTACAATTTTTACAACTTCTCATGATTTTATAGTTATTTTAAAATAAAAAGTGTTAAGAATTAGGGAATTAGAGAAAAATAGCAGCAGATGTAGGGGTAATATTGTTTTTGGTCTTGTTGCTGCTGTTGATCTTCAGCTTGGGAACCAGTTTCTCACTTTAAGACAGGTTTCAGAACATTACGATAGTCCCAAATAGGCATTTTCAGTTTCCCATCTGATAAAATAAATAGAAAAAAATAGACATTCAAAGTATGCATTTGTTCATGTATCTGGTTAGAGCCCATCACTAATTGCAGAATTACTTTAACATAATTTGGGTCCCTCAATCAGCTGTGGCTTGGAAGCCTTCAACTTTTAGTTTCTCTTTCTGTTAAGAATTTAATGATCTGTAAGCAAACATTTGGGAAGATGACATTTGAAAGGGACCGTTTTTTAATGTGAGGAATCTTTTCGCAACATAAATGGTTTTTACTTTCTCATTTGTCAGTCCGATGTTAGGTATGCTGAATCAGTAATGTAAGTGGCTGTCCTATGGGTGAATATATGGGGTGATGGGAACATCCAATGTGCCCCGTGGAAGATTTTGGGACCCCTCCTTGGGAGCCCACCAAACACACCTAGATGTGGACAGGCTGGGAGAGATGCGAGGGACCCTGGGAGGTTATGCCCTGAGGTTCTGCCCTCCACACCCCCTCCCAGCCCCCACCTGCCTCCCTAGTTCAGCTCTAGCCTGGAATGAAGGTGAGAAATGCCGAAGCTAACACTGGCTCTTGAAATGTAGCTGTGGGTGTTTTCTGAGTTTTTCTGCAGTGAACTCTATATGCTTGTCCCTGAGACTGTCCCCTGTGCACTGGCCTCTGCCCAGCGTCCTGAGACTGCTGTGGCCAGAGCCAAGGCAGGAGCAGAAAGCTCTCACCTTGTCACTATAGAGCCCAAGGAGAAGCTGAGTGTTCTAGACTCAGGACCTTTCAAAATCGCAAAGACATGCAAAGTGGAGCATATTTCTTTTACCGCGTGGTGTGAGTGTCGTGGGAAGGCAAGGAGGGGAGCTTTTACAAAACCTGCATGCCTGCCATGTCTGCTGTGTCAGAACCCTTGGGGGAGAAGCCAATGTTTGAAAACTCTCTCCAGGTAGTTCCGATGAGCATCCTCATTAAGAACCACTGGTTGGGGGATGACTCTTGGCTTCTATTATGACTTATTTTTAGTTGCCTCTGCCTCAGTTTTTCCTTCCCTAAATGGAGATGATAGAACGTGATTTCCCTCCCTCAGAAGGGCACTGAGGGAGCGAATGAGGTAATGTCGTGAAGGCACTCAGTGTTTTCAAGTGTAACCCTTAGTAGAGGAGAGACCCGCGTGCCTCAGTCTCAGAGGGGTGGAGATTCAAGAACCACAGCTCAATAGCTGAAAGTAACTGACAGAGAAATCTAATTATTTGCCTTCTAGAACAACATTAAAGAGAATCCAAGTAATGGATCAAACCAATATTTGTCAAATTTCCATTTCTTCCCCAGTCCCTGCAACTGTTCCACTCTCTCCTGAAAAATTTCACCTAGCGCCAATGTGCCTTTTTCCTCCTCCTCTCTCGTATCTTTTACTATTTTGTGATGTGGATCAGCTTAGCCTTCAGGTCAAAGGGCTGTGAACATTCCAGCATTAGTTGAAGGCAGCCTCCACAACAAGGGAAGGATCTTCTTCCATTGTCTTCTAGCCTTGCCTTCTTTTCTCTCCCTCTTCCCAGGACCAGCTGCAGGCCCAGGACTTTACCAAATTCCAGCCGCTGAAAAGCAAGCTGCTGGAGGTAGTGGACGACATGCTGGCCCACGATATTGCCCAGCTCATGGTGCTGGTGCGCCAGGAGGAGACGCAGCGGCCCGTCCAGATGGTGAAGGGCGGAGCATTCGAGGGCAGCCTGCATGGCCCCTTCGGGCACGGCTATGGAGAGGGGGCTGGGGAGGGCATCGATGATGTTGAGTGGGTGGTGGCCAGGGACAAGCCCATGTATGATGAAATCTTCTACACCCTGTCACCGGTGGACGGCAAGATCACAGGCGCCAATGCCAAGAAGGAGATGGTGCGCTCCAAGCTGCCCAACAGCGTGCTGGGCAAGATCTGGAAGCTGGCTGACATCGACAAGGATGGCATGCTGGATGACGAGGAGTTCGCACTGGCCAACCACCTCATCAAGATCAAGCTGGAGGGGCATGAGCTGCCCAATGAGCTGCCCGCCCACCTCCTGCCCCCGTCCAAGAGGAAAGTCACCGAGTGACCAGGGGTTGGGGGAGGTTCAGAGCAGGCAGGTGTTAGAGGAGCTAGAGGAGGCGATGGGACACACACATACACACACACGCACACGCACACACACACACTTGCAGATCTTGAGAACTGCACTGCAGATGAGAGAGAACAGTGATCCCCAGGTTTCCAGGCTGATCTTTGTTTGGACACGTCTCCAGGTTCTCGGCATGGGTAGAAGCACAGAAGCATTCCCAGGGTCCCAGGTTTCAAGCCTAGGTCTCCATCCCTCTTTCCCTCCACTACTTCCCTCCACTACCCAGAGACCTGCCTTCTCCAGTGAAAGCAGTTCACTCGCCCACGGATGGCCCACCCACCTCCAGATTCCCTGGACCTGGAGCAGATGGAAAAGGCTTTTCACTTAATAGGCAATTCACTTTGTTTTCTGTGCTTGCTCCCCCTCTTTGGCTTCCTAATATGAAATCTGCTCCAGAGCCAGGAGATGAGAGGGAAGGGGGGCTGCTGCAGGGAGGGGAGGGGGGAAACATCCTTGGGTAACCAGGTCCCAGCCTTGAGGAGCATTGCCCTGAGCTATTTTTTCCCAGACTTAGCCTCTGCTGCCTTGGCAAACCTGGCTTTGAACCCTGCTGGCACTTCATTTGAAAGAATCCCAGTGAGGGGAGAGAAGAGAAAAAATTGACAGGAAAGAAAGCAAAGAAACTGTCCTGTAATCCTCTACTCCAAGCCAGGCAAGGTGGCTTTATTCCACAGATTGTGTGAGGTTCGTGTTCTTTCCACCTGGCCTCTGATGTCTGGCGGCTCGTACTCAACTTACATCTATCCAGCCCCTCCTGCGTGCCAGGGGCCGTGTTAGGCACTTTATGTACATTATCCACGTGGCCCTCACCACTCCCTAGGGAAGTATGCCTTAGTCCTCCCATTTTGCAGATAAGGAGCCTGAGTCTCAGAGTTCAAGTGACCTTCCCAGCATCACAGAGGTCACATGTGATGGAGAGAGGATTCAGAGCCAGGGGCTCAGACTCTTCCTCTGCTGTGCTGATGTGTGCAGGATCCCTGCACTGCTAGCCAATGATGAATCACGGAGAAAAAACCAAGCACGGAGGCCCCTCACAGCCTCCCAGAGCAGGCTGGTGAGGGAGAAGGGCCAGCCAGCATTTGGTGGGCCATCAGTCTGGCCATGTGTCACACCACAGAAGCAAACTGTGCCTTCTGGCTATGTTCCCCACGTTCCTAAAATTGCAGAAGTCCAACAGCGCCAGTGGGAGAGTGGGCCAGCCTGCCGGATGCTGTTCGGATGCCTGTCCCTGCTCCGCCTCCCACCCAATAGCCTGAATCATCCCAACTCAAATGCAGACTCTTATCAAGTGGGACCTCGTGCTGATTCTCAGAAGGCCAACTTGAGAGGTCTGAGGTCTTGTTCCCGGCAGGACCCCCAGCGACTCTGTGGTGTCTTTGGCAAATCCCCACCATTCCCAGTGCCCCACTCCCTCCTTTGTGGTCTCACCCTTGCTTCACGGCCACTGAATCAGTCACTTTGTATGCTATGCTCCTAACTGTGATGGAAAACAAAAACAAGTATAACTTATTTTATTTCTATGTTCAGACTATATAGAGAATATTCTACGTATCTATGATGTGCTTACTACTGCAGTGCATTTGTCATTAGTATTCATGTTAATACAGCACATTTATCCTTTGGTACCCGCTTGGCTACAGAGCATCATTTTGGGGAGGCCAAAGAAGAGGGGCTGGGTTCTTACTTAGGGTTTCTGGTGGCATCTTGGGCAGAGGATTGGGCTGCCCATAGCCAGCATCCACAAACAGCATCCCATTGGCCTGGTGCCTGTCCAGGCCCAGTGACTATCCAGGCCGACCTGGTGGAACCACCACTCCCTGGAACTCTGGAGTGGAGATGGTCCCCAAACCTCTGGGCTTCCTTCTGCATCCACATGTTTCTTTTTCATATGTAATAAAACCTCCTCTAAATGGAGTGTCAAGACCAGCAAAGAGACCATTTCTTAGCTCTATGCCTTTCTTTGAGGTAAAGGAAAAATTGGAAGGAGACAGCAGAGGGAGGTAAAGTTTCTGTCTTTTTATTTTAGAAGAAAGAGGGGTGTCTGCCTGTCCCCTCACCCCACTGCCACTTCACGTACCACTTTCCTGCCCTACCTCTCCCTGCCTGTCTTCCCTCCCTGCTTCAGGACTCCACCCGGGAGAGATCTATGAGGCACGGAATTCCATGTTGGCACTTCTCCCATCTCCTGAGAAAGAGGAAATAGTGCTTGAGGCTCCTCACCATGGGTGAGGGGACAGTTGAGGGACACTTTCTCTGGGGCTGTCCCTCTGGCTCTTGCTGCCTTGACCTACTGACCGTTCACAGGCTCCGGGGGCCTGGGGAGATCTCATGCCTCATCCAGGAAAACATGTAATATGGAAAGCAGAGACACATCGTGGCAGTCTCACGGGCAAGAATCCCTAGAGACCCCACTGTCCTGTTGCTCCTTTCTCCACACCACTCAGCCTGGGCCACAGAAATGGTCAAACAAGAAGAACAACACCCTTCTCCACTGCCGCAGCAAAGCTTGCCCCTGGTGCCTACGAGCTAAACCATGACCAAAGTCTAGTCGTGTCCATGTGCAGGGGACCCTGCTAGCTGTAGCAGGGCCTGGCCTCAATTTGCAGAGTGCTGAGAGGTTGCCCTGAGTCACCCCCACTCCCATTTGTCTCCTGTGTTCCAAGAGCCTACCTTTATGAGTTAGCTGCTCAGAATCAGCAGAGCTGTCTGGAGAGAATAGGATTATTCTCCCTATGAGATGTTAACTGGCCTCTATATGTAGTCAATCCTCTATTCTTCCATTTGTCCATCCATCCATCCATCCACTCGTCTATCCATCCATTCTTTCACTCAGAAGACACTGAGAACCTCTTGCAGAAAAAGCCCTATGATGAAGACAGCAATTCATCCACTGAGACGTTCAAAAATACTTATTAAACGCCATCTGTGCAGGAGGGACAATTCTAGGTGGATCAAATCAAGTTTCTGCTCTCAAAGAGCTCACAGCTTTGTAGGGAAGTGAGGCATTTACACAAACTGATAATACAACGAGGGACCGTGACAGGTCCTGGGGCGGGAGAGTGCAGGCTCATGAGTGCAAAGTGGGGGCTCATGAGAATCAGAAATGGCTTCCACTTGGGGAGAAGGTGGTCGGAGAAAGCCCAGGGTGAGGGTGGGCACTTGAACTGAGCCTGAGAAACCTCTGGGGTCTGCCTCTTGCGCCTCTCATCTGTCTCCCTCATCCAAGGAAGACAGGCAGGGTTTTTATACAAAAGTAAACACACAGCATTCCCAGCGCACAGAATCATGACAGACTGAGAACCACTGATGTATTTGAGGAAAAGCATGATTAGAATTTTGCCTCTGGGGACTGTGCTGGTTTTTCACAAGCCATTTTTAAGTAAAAATTTTATCAGTATCACGGAAGCTGAAATTTTCAGTGCCTGGAAGAAAAGGAAAATGGTAATGGGGGAGATATAAGTTGTCCCAGCTGCAGCGATGAGGGGAATGGGAGGATATAGGGGGCGTGTGCTCCCCTGAACTGGAGGGAATTAGTGCTGTTTACCACATTTTGGTTCTCCAGTCCTTCTGGCACAGGGAGGATTGGACTTTCCACCCCCTTGAAGTTAGGCGAGCTGTGTGCCTTGCTTTGGCTAGCGAAGTATGTGTGTAAGCAACATGTCCTTCTTTGTGAGTGTACGATGTTCTGCTTCTCCTGCCTCCCAGGAATGCATGTGGGGGCAAGTGTGAAGATGGAGACTTGGTCAGCCCACGTTTCTGGGACACTCTGCAATCCCTTCCCAGTCTGCACTGGACGAGTGGCATGAACCAGACATAAACCCTAGTCGTTTTAATTTTAAGCCACTGATAGTTGTGGGCTATTTATTACCCAGCATAACCTAGACTATCATGACCAAATACCTGGTAAGTTCTTCCAGTAGTTTAGTCCATTGCGCAAGTGTAAAGGAGGAAGTCTCCTGGGAGACAGAGTCTGCCTTCTGAAGAACCAAGGCCACCTGAGGCTGAAGGCATGGGTGATTTGACAAAGTCCTTTAGCATCTGAGCCATATTCTGCAATATCACTTTTGTCTTTTTTTATCACGTTAAAATAAACATAACATAAAACTCACATCTTAGCCATTTTTAGGTGTACGGTTCAGTGGTATTAAATACATTCGCACTGTTGTGAACATCACTTTTTTGTGTGTGTGTGAGGAAGATGGGCCCTGAGCTAACATCTGCCAATCCTCCTATTTTTGCTGAGGAAGACAGGCCGTGGGCTAACATCCATGCCCATCTTCCTCCACTTTATATGAGATGCCGCCACAGCACGGCTTGACAAGCGGTGCGTCAGTGTGCGCCCGGGATCCAAACTGGCGAACCCCGGGCCGCTCCAGTGGAGCATGCGCACTTAACCGCTTGCGCCACCAGACCAGCCCCGAACATCACTTTTTAAGTTGGAGAACTTTGGACTAATGGAGTCAAACACTGATAGGACTTGTCTTCTTTCTGCAATAATACAGACACTGGGGGTTGACTGGGCATTTGTCTGCCTAGACCCTAAACAGAGGGTGTACCAGTCAGAAAGAGAAAAACTGCAATACCCAGGCACCCTTGCAGCCAGGCTCAGGATGTGATTTCAGGTCCTGCCAACCTGATATACTCATGGGAGAGTTTGCTGAAGCCGACCATGCCAGAGGCGGACCCAGCAGCTATAACAACAGCTTCCTGGCTTCACAGCCTCCTATCTGTGCTCAAGGAGGCAGAGGTCTTGTTTGTGAGGCCAGTTGAAGCAGTGGCCTGCACTAGTGACAGCACTGTAAGTGACCATATGTCACCTGGCGTTTGCCTGCCTAACCATGGTGCCTGAGCACTGCTGAGATGTGCAGAGGGTCCCCCGGCTGCAGCAGGGGAGGCTTCATGGAGGGATATGTGTGTGTGTGTGTTGGGAGGTTCCTGCTGGATAAATGAGGAAGGAGGAAAGGGTTGGCAGAGGTTTTCAGAGAGAATGGTGGCTGGGGACTTTTCAAAGGAATAATCCCTTTCTAAGGATCCAGAGGGTGTGCATGTGTGCACTTAGAACACTTGAGGCTGTGAAATAAGGAAATATTAAAAATAGCAGTTCCATCTCCTCCCTTAGAATTTCATGAGGGGTGGTTCCCCC